ATCATGGGTCTAGGAAATCACTTCTCAACTTATTTGTGATTTTTTATATGACTCTTTTATGTTTAGAATTTTTGCCTGGATCAGAATTTACAAATGTTCTGACTGCAATACAGCTTTGCTAAGCAATGTTCCTACACTCTTTACAGTGGAACGGCAGAAGTTAAGAGGGTATATTTGGAGTCAAACTGCCTGGATTTGAATTCTGACTATGCCACTTATCTGCTGTGAGACCTTGGGCAAGTCGTTTAACTTTGTTGTACTCTAATTTTCTGGTCTACAAAATGGGTTGATCACAGCACCCACCTCATTGAATCGTGCTGAGGATTGGATGAGGTGATCTGGGCAACACTCTCAGAACTGTGCTTGAAATGTTTTAGCAACATGTTAATGTCAGTTATTATTATTATTATTTTATTTTAGTCACAATTTTGGTTCTTCATTTCCTTACAAGTTACTGGCATGTCCCTTCTTCAAATGTAAATGTGAAGGCAAAAAAATTAATACATGTCTCAAAGAACTGAATGCCCACTCGAGAACATAGCCCAAACAGCATCTTCATTATGTGAAGAAGGACTACAGAGAGTTTGTGGTCCTATGGGGCCCCTCAATCTCAGACATATCTGATTAGCTAGATTATCTGGTTGAGCTTCTGAGAGTAGTGGAAGCAATAGGAGTGTTCAGGGCCATTTCATTGCTTTTGTTAAATGGAATAAAACTTGACTAATAGCCTATGACAATAAGTCAGTCAAACTGAGACTTGACTAAGAGACTGGTCATAGTAATGTAGCAAGAAAAACGAGCAAGACATTTGAATGGCAATGTTGTGTGGGTGGGAGGCTTGTTTTTAAGTAACTGATGTTATAACTTTATTGCACTATTATTTCAGTCAAGAGAAATATTTGTGTAACAAGCTAAGACAGCACTCTAAAACAATATATGCTTACTGTTTTTTCCCCCTCTATTACTTTCACCCCCTTTCCTTTCTTTCCTCAGGTCTTCCCTCCTTTCCTCGCTCCTGCTCCCTCCCCCATTTTTTTTTTCTTGTTGAAAGTCAGCTCTTCTACATTTGTGATAGCCATTGAAACAACCTTGGTAACCTATGTATTATAGGCCATTGCAAAAGTGTAGGTTTGTTTCTATCTGCCACAGAGTTAAAGAGACATTCCTGTCAGCGCTGAATCGTAAAAAAAAATGTACGGTGGGTAAATTGTCTGAACACATTAAATCAATGCTAGTAACAAGTATAGAATTGCGGAGAAAGTTTGGGCTAAAACAGCTAGACATAACAAAGGAACTTTAAAAAAATGACAAGTTGACTGTAGTCTTCACTTCTTCATGAACTTTGTTTTTGTGAATCTGTACTGACTTGTTGCAACCACCATTACTGTAATACGGGAATGGTAGACAAAGGAAAACAGAGCATGATTATTCAGTGTGCTCAGGGATTTCTTAAACACCCCTGCCTTCTCCTCAGGATAGAAGTCAGCAAATTCAACCCCGAACATTTTCACAGGAAAGGAATAAAACAAATTAAAAACCTAACAAGGAGAAAAATACCACTTAACGTGTGTTTTTATTGCCACTTCCTCTCTGATGATGGGTTCACCTCACAGCTTTGCATTGGTTAGAGAGTATTTTAAATGAATTAGGGAGAGTCAGGAACAATGAGATGTCAGGGTAAATTCTTAATATCAGAAATAATTATTGTCCTACCTTCAACTGTTTACAATCCATAATTTATTTCTTTCCCAGTCATCTTAAGAGCCTGTGATCTTATTTTTCTCAGAAATCCTGAAGGATGTACTTATTGCTATAGTTATACTTAAGTTGTATACCTTTCATGTAACCCTTTTTTTTGGCAAAGATATTCCTAGTTTAAATCTTGTCTACTCACAGAGATTATAAACTCCTTGAAGGCCAGACCATATCTTTTACTGATTTTTATCCTTGTGCTAGTCTCCTATATACAATCATAGGTTCTCAATAGGTAGTTGATGTCTGAGTGATAGTAGATAGGCAGACCCTCTTTTCCATGCATCTTTGTACAACAACATCAGGACAGATGTCTATTTTCCAGGAGCTGTGTGGTTGGCATTTACTGGACTTTTCTGTTGTCCACTAAAGGAGAACAAGATGCCAGCTCCCCTGTCTGATCCAACCTTCCCCTGTCCTAGACATGCAATGTTCCCATACACAGAACTAATCACAATTGGAGCAATTCCAAGTTTGTTTCCCTCAGGAGTCCAGGAGAAATTACGCTCTTGTCTATAAATTTTCAATGGATTTACAACTTTGCCTTGCTTATGCTGGTGGCTTGGTAGGGGTGGGGAATAAGGACATGAGAATGGATGAAGAATAAGCTCTTTCGGTTGCTATCTGATCTCCTCCCCACTTTCCTGCAGCCAAATCCAGGGAAGTGAAAAAGAGGCAGACAGAACTTGAGGGTTAAACCTTATTTTCACAACAAACGAGGCTCTCTGAAGGTCTCAAAGTGTTGTCTCTGTCTATAGAAAAGAAAAAAAAAGTGGAGAGGCAGCTACATCTCCTTTTAATCTCCACTTGGAAATAGAATTAAAGTACTATCACTGACTTCAACCTATGAATATCATCTGAACAATTTTCCAGACTCTCGCTTTTTAATTTGAAAGCCAATCTTTTAGTGGGAATGTTCAATCACAACATACAGGTAACAAATAAGCAAACAGACAAGGTTGAATTTATCACGGAGTGTTCAGGTCATCTGCTAACCGTTCCAGGTATCTGATTCCAAAGCAAACATATCATATAGCTATTAGGATTCCCTAGAGGCATTTAAGCGAAGTGAAAGGGCAAGCAATGATCTGTGCACAGATTGCCACTGCAGTCAAAGTCACTAAAATTTCTGGAGGTGGAAATTTCATTTGGCTACTTTTGCATTAAATTATTCATTAGGGTTTTTTTTTTCTTTGTGAAATTTTATGGAGGTGACAATTATTTAACTGGATTTACAGATAAAACTAATAATTACAGTAATTACTACTGTCTTCCTGATTGCCACTGGGTCTTGTTTTTTCTGGGATAGTGTCCAGCCTCACGGATCTGAAATGAGTCTCTTCCAGCTCCTGTGAGTACCTCAGTTTCTTTGTACCAGGGTGATATGAAGTTATTGGTTTATTGAATATTAGCATTTTTGATACATCAAAACAGAATTACTGCTAGTGGTGATAGCAATTTATTCAAAAGAATTATCTAATTCTCTGGAAAAATACCTAGAATATTAACTGCATTATGAGGTGAAAGCTTGTTCATCTACACCCCAGTAGGTAAACTTTGTGTGTATTTGGTGGATATAGGGAGTGGAAAGGGACATTTGACCTATAAGAGGTATTACGTTAGAAGAGCTTGTATAACCTAAAGTTTGTATGACCCATCCTTTTTTCCCCCTTGTTTGTTATGTAGACTAGTGCATAGGCAACCTGGATAATTTTGCATTTTATACAGAAAAAAATCAGAATTATTAATCATTGTGGTGTGTGCTATAGTTGGGTACAGTTTTCTTAGTCAAAACGTGAAACAAAAACCATTTTCTTATGCTATATTTATTGAAAATTTTTTGGCTTTATAAGTATATTATTTCCAATACAGAAGTAATAGTCCAGAAAATAAAGCACTATATTTTATGACTATACTATCCCATCTCGCTCAGAGCATCATTTATCTTTAGAATATCTTGGGTGTCTACAGGAATATCTGTATACATACACATTTTCCTTAGGCTCACATCTAGATGACATATTAAATTCATGGCACCAGGTAGATTTTAATGAAATACCAAGTAGCAACTGGATAATTACTGGTAGATATCCTTATATGATTGAATAATTTTTATTTCATTTACTTAACAATTTTTTACTGCTATATTTGAGATTCGTTTGTTACAGTTTGCATGCTGTTCCTTCCCTAAAGCTTTAGCGCCAGTGTTTACAAATGTTTACATTTGTGTGTTTGTGTATGTTCAAGCTAGACACCAGCTACTGATTATTGTGCTATCTCTAAATCTATACACCAGACCTCAGGAAGTCTCTAAGAAAATACATGCTTGTGCTTCTTAGGGGAATATAATAAAGAACTCTCTCTACAATTCTTGGGCATTTTGGTATTTTTTTTTCAACATCAAATCCATTCCAATTAAGTTGGATTCCCCAAATTTGCTTGATCATAAGCAGTACCCGGGATGCTTTAAAAAACTGCATGTATTCAGGACTCTCCATTAGAGATTTTGATTCCTTAACTGTAGGACTGTGCTCAGGTGTGTGTATTTTTAACAATCTCATCCTATGAGATTCTTAGGCTTACACAGGTTTGAAAACTGCTACTGAATGAACACTAAAGTCAGTATATGCTCAGAAATAAGGTGTTTGTGCAGAATTGAGCTGATTGAGTTAGCTTAAGTAATTTTTAAGTTAAAAAGTTAAACATTCTACCTATGTTATAAAATTGGGGGAATTTTTTTTTCCTTTTGGCATTTGCAAAACCGTAACTTCCTAGAGGGCTATCCAATGACTGACTGTATCAGGATCTCTAAGACCATGTACCCCTGATTCTCCTTAAAGTTACTAAAGACGAAACAATCTCAGACTTGTGGCTAAAATGACTGAATTCACTCAGTCACCGCCTCATGGTCCAGGTACCTGGCAGAAACAGATTCACAGGACATTTTCAATGTCATCTGATAGCATTCAGACTCAGTTTATCATTGAGCTCATGGACACGATCTAGGAGATTAGTTTGCAAAGGTTTTAATCACCTGTGAAAATTCAGAATTATGATGGCGAAGGGTGGAAATGACTCTGCCTTCACGGGCGACCCCGTGAATGTTGAACTGCTGTTCTTCACTCTCCTTGGCACTCTCTTGTGAAACAATGGCCAAGCTTGTTTTTCTTGCCCGAGTTCACCACAGCCTAGCCCACGTGGACAGAGACTAAACCGACTTCCTTAAAGCACACACAAAAAAGTCTGGATGTTTTTCCTTCAATTTTCGCAATTTTATTAGTCTTTAATAAGCATTTCCTCAGAGCTTGGCGGTTTCTGAAAGTTTTAAAATCATTTTTACTAGCGACTTCCGAGGCACACCTGTGTGGTAAGTCTGTGTTTTCAGCCATGTTTTCACAGGACATGTGTGACCCAAAATACAAACAGGCTCTAAACCACAGGGAGAGAAAGGGAGGACTTGCCTGCTTGCTCCCGTCCAGCATTATGTAAGCTGTGTAAGTGATGTGGTTCCGGTGCGCAGGTGCTTTAGTTTCATTGTCTCCGTAAAGAAGGCTTCCTCATAAATATGATTTTCGGTAAGTTTGGGAAGGCAACTTCTCCAGCTGAGTAAAAATGAAGGCATAGCTTAAAAACAAAACTAAACAACCACGACAATCTTTTAAAACAACTACTCTGTAGTTCTAGTTGTTGGGAATAAATTCAGCAATGGGAGTTGTCTGTTCAGACATATGACAAATTAGTATAATGATATAATGACTCGTGTACATTTTCTTCTTTGCACAGAGGGTATTTAATGGACTGCAATGTAAGCTTATGATTAAGATCTAAGACATTTTATTAATAACTTTCTGATTCTTCACCCCACTCCTAGAGGCAGTTCTTTCCATTCGGCCTCTTGGAGCTCACACAGAAACTAAGAATCACAATTCCAAATGAGGTTAGAATATTTCATCATTTAACCCTTCTCTATCTCAAAACCTTCTCCAATCACGTATTCATGTCATTTTATTGGGCGTTTGAAAACTTACATTTAAAGACCTAATAATCCCCTCTATTCTTTCTTCTCTTTTACCAGACTTCAGATACATAACTGTGAGGAAATGAAGCTATTAATACCAAATGAATAAAGAACATATGCATATAATGTAGCTTTGCTAGTAAAATTTATAAGCTTATAAAAGCATACATTCGTCTCCCCTCCAATCAACATTTAAATTAATTGGTAGCAATTCCTTGCTCATTAAAAAATATTTTCAATAGGAAGCAATATTTTGAAAAATGGAAGGGAAGGCTCAAGTCACAAAGAGATTTGTTAAATTATTTTTATTTTTATACAGTTATATTTCTACTTTATTTTTATGCTTATTATTATTATTTTTTAATGAAATTGTAGTGTGATTTTTGTGACATTAAAAGTTGAATTTATTTCTGCCTTTGTTGGACTGAATTTAAAGTTGCTTCTTATACTTTAAATTTTATATGTAAAGTAATAAAACATCTAGTCTAGCAAATGTCAGCCTAAGTGAATAAAAAATTCTCCAATATAAGGAATTGATGAAAATAGAAAATATGTATTTATAGTGCCATCTTAATTTAGAATATTGACTTCTTTTATCAAAGCAAAAATAAAAATTTATATTTAGAAAAATATATTTTCTCTTTTCCTTTTCACTGAGCCCAAGGATCAAAAGCAAGCAAAACATATTTCTGAGACACATAAAATTATGTGTATGTGTCTATACTTTTATATAAAGGTAAATATATGATATAATAGGTTTAACATTTTAAAAAAATATTTCAGCACAACTATACATACTACCATGTATATTAGTATATTTTTATTTACTTTGTACTGAAAATATTTTTGTTTCACACATTATTAAAATGCTTTATATTTATTTCAAATCATGGACTTCAAAAGGATGCAATTAAAAAGTAAATCTATTTCAGTAATTATTCTATTGGACAACTTTTGAGGTGATTATGTGACATAGATAATTACATCTAAAAAAACTAAGACTAAACTAAAATTTCTTAAGTCAAGTTTGCTGAAACTTTTATAGACTACATAGGGGCAGAATCATTCCATGATAACTTTTAGATCAAGTGTATTGCACTGAGATCAATTATTTTTTGGTGGTGTTGTTTCTGTTTTAAAAACTGTTGGTCATCACCATTATTATTGAAAAATTGACATTCCTAATACATTGGTATTTTATAGGACTTTCCTTGTACACCAATGGGAGGGCCTGCATGCAGGTGACCTATTCTATTGCAAAAACCTTGTCATAGGCAGAATGGTCTGGGATCTGACAGGTTTTGACTCATGACTTAGGTCTCACTATTTTGCAATTTCTTTTGCGGCAGAATGTTCAAACTTATTGCTTAACAGTAAACACTTAATATTTTTTCTGTGCAATTGAATGGGTGAAAGGAAAATAGAAGCAAACTATCTTATAGAAAATTGACGATTTCACTGGAACTGGGATTGGCTTTCATTTTATCTTTTAAAACTCTTCATTACACAGCGAGGGAAAGGATTTTAGCTGTAAAATAATGATTTCTCCTAATATAAGGCATCATTCAAGAATGACAACAATAAAGATGTAATTAGCTATCATTGTCGTCAAGTTTACCACACATCCCAGGAGTAAATATATTTATATTTTTCAGTATCTTTGAAACTCAGGTCCAGTTGTGAGAGTCAATTGCTCAGGAAAATCTTTAGAGTGAGTGATCATATCCTGGGGCAAGAGGGTCGGACTTGGTTAACTCACGTGAAGTAATGAGCCTGACCGAATGAATTCAAAGTAGTAACCACGTATTCAAGGAACACAGAATGGAAAGTGTCACTGAGACCAATCTGGTAGCAGCGATTCAATACATACATATCAAGGCATTATCCCAGAAAGAAACACACAGCACCCTTCCAAAAATTCTCTCTCAAGGCATGCACATGCAAACAAAGAGAAAGCCAAGACTCACAGTTCATTTGAATTCACAGGGGAAAATTTTCGGGATGAATGTTGCTTTGACGTTGTCTTACTGATGCTGAGGGAAGCCAAACCTGTTTTTAATTGCAAAGCCAAATGGTTTATGCATGGACTCTGCCATGCCTGTGAGAACATGTTGCTTTTATAGCCCCCTCCCCCTCCAGGAACACGAGACGAGGCTTGCCAACACTGTGTTTGAGCATGGTCACATTTGAAATGAGAAATCTTGCAGGTATTTTTAAAGGGGGAGGTGTCAATCTGTCAGAGATGTCACTATAAGTGGATCTATCTGCCTATCTGTTACCACTTGCTAATTATGGATTCGGGTGATAATTGTCATAAATCTTGCCACAAAATATGCAATAAAATGTATTTTCTGGTACTAGAGGGTGATGTGTAATGAGGAAGAAACTAGAATAAGGGCTCATGATCAACAGATCACAAAGCCTGTGCTGTAGAACTGTTTCACTGTTTAATATTCCAATGAATACACATATTGTTGCATGTGTCAGGTTGCTTCGGGCAACATTGCTGGCATTCCATTATAGGAATGGTGAGTGTACACAGAACAGCGTCTGTAGAGAAGTTTTTCTTGAGATGGCCAAAATGGCCCTCAGGAATACTCTGTACTTTTAGAACTGACCTGGAGAGGACTAAGAAAGTAAAACAGAATAAATGACTAATAAAATAAGTGTTTGTAAGGAGCTGACCAATCATGGCAAAGTTGGATCCTGGAAAAAAATTTGAGATGGCTCTTAAATATTTGCTGTTCCAAGATTATTTACAGATAAGAAGAAAAGAAGTCCCACACATGTAAGGAAAATCTATGCTCTTTTAAAAAAGGTTTGACAATAAAAGGTGTAACCTAAAAAAAGTTTCTGCTTCTGTATCTAGTTCTTGAAGTCCTTGCTGCCACCAGCTGCTGACTCATTAATTGCCCCTGTCACCTTATCTCATCCTAATCTCTGCTCACTCTTCCCTCACCAGCTCTTATCTACACACACACACACACACACACGCACACACACACTGTCACTTTAAACATTAATTGTACATAATTTACAACCTGAGTCCAAATGTTGGGTGTAAGAAGTCCACTCTCTCCTTGGAGACATAAATTGGTACATTATTCTAATCTATATATATTAAAGCCTAAGTGACCATTACCACTGAATGGTCGGAATGACCGGAACAGCCAGAATGACTGGAATGACCCGTCGACGAGTCGCTATGACACGCACTGACCACCAAGGGGCAGACCCCCTGGTAGTCCGTGTGCTCCCACAGCCAACTTCCCACAGCCGGCCAACCGCCCATGGTCCCTCCACCCAGCTGTCCCCCATTGGCCCCTGGTGCTAAACCATTCATAGACAACCTGCTTCTAGGTCAGGGTTTCGTACATAGCAGAGCAGCTCCCTTGCTGTGATCTATTGAAAGTCAGCCCTCAGCACAAGGGTATGTCTCGCTCCCGTCCTCTCCCTTCCCCAGGGGCCTCCCGCCCACCATGGTGGCAGCACTGTGGCGAGGGAAGGAGGGGGGTGTGGTGGGGAACTGCATGGTGGCGGGGCACCAATGGCGGCATCGGTGTCCAGTGTCTGTTCCTTTTGCGCCTGGCCCAATGACTGTCACCTCCTCTCCCAACCCTGAAGGACCCGGGCTGGGATGGGGAACCAGGGGTGGGTGGCAGCAGACGTGGCCCCTTTCCCAGGGCATCCAAGGGCTGGCTCCCTCCTTGGGGCTGGCAGCCAACCTCCCACAGTCCCTCTTCCCCAGCCAGCCAACCTCCCGTGGTCCCTCTCCCCATTTGTCCCCCCAGCCTTCAGGCCCTAATGGCCTGGCCCCAATAGGCCTGGCCCCAATCAGCTGGCCCTGATCGGCTCTGATCACCAGCCAGGCCTAGGGACCCCACCCATGCATGAATTCGTGCACCAGGACTCTAGTATTCTATGAAAAACTGTGAGTTTTCTTAAGGGCAGAGACATTGACTTATTATTCTCTATCCTCAGATTAAGTGCTCATTTAATATAGAAGGACAAAGGATTCCTCCTAAAAATACTTCCTCTGAGAAGTAATTTTTAAGAAAAGTTGAACTCCTAGCCATCAATGGATCAGGATGCGACTGGACATTGACACTTACCACTCTTGATGCAATCAAGCAAAAGGCTCTTGGCTGTTAGAGGAAGGAAACCATGGAATAAAGGAAGCATAGTTCCTACCTATAAGTATTTTATAATCAGATTCAGACAACAGAGTCTAAGAAACTACATGCCAAGTTCTCTATTGACACAAATGCACACTTAACAGAATTCACCAGCTAAGGCTTAGCAGTGACTGGTTCAGTCAACTCCAAAGGAAGAGGAGACTAGAGCATTCTAACTCAGCTTTCAGTACAAAATGTTCTTGGATAACTCATTCTTTTGCCCACAGTCCACTCTATGTACATAGATCGGTATGACTCTGAATAATAGCACAGACATTTGCATACTTTCTGTGTTTGATCATGGTCACATTTGAAATGAGAAGTCTCCAGATATTTTTAAAGAGGAAGATGTTTTTTAAAGGTAGGCACTAACTTGGAGTGCCTACCTTTCACTTCTCATCATAGACTAGAACTATTTATGTCAGGCTCCGCTCACCCATGAAATTTTTCTCAATGAAAGAAGCAGGTACTTAGTCATAGTGCTTATATCTATTGACCACATCAGGGCACAGCTGCTTTATAGCCTTCTCTGGTCTTAGTCTTAATCAAACATTCAGAGGATGTAACATCAATATAGAACTTAATACTATAAACTCCTTGATGGCAGTTATGTATCAGGGATCTACAAAATATATGGCAAGTATTATAGAAACAACATGCATATATCACAACCATATTATTTGGGGGTATTACTATCACACTTATTTAATAAAATGAAGAAATGAGGTTCAGAAATCTTGAGTGACTTGGTTAGAGGTATGTGATAAAAGCCAATTTGGGAATCAAACTCTGGTCTGTAAAACTCTATGTTGTCATTTATGTCTTCCATTTCTCTCTCATATAGATAGACTGAAAGGTGCGTGAGGTAGAAGAAGGGATTTGTTATTAGGTAGTGTTTCTTAGGTAGAATCAGATTATTCGCTCTTGCATTTGGTTCAATGGGATAATGAAATGACATGTAAACAGTTCTCTCTACATTAGGGACTGAATTGAAAAGGTATTGTTTTATACGTGTGGGGAGGTGTATGAAGGGGATGAGGAAGTAGACTTTGGAAAGAGAAGATGTAATTTAATAGTGTTTGTGAATGACTTACCACCTGCCAGGCCCTGTGTTCAGGGTCTGAATGTGACAAGATGAATGACACTTGTTCATTGTCTTCATCATCCAAAAGTGACTTAATAGTTCAGTGAGGAAGTAGACACATAAGATCTTGTCAACAAAGGATAAGAAGTGATCTAGTAAAGCTCACCAAGGACTCTGGGAAGACAGAGTGAAGTGATATAGTCTGGGCCAAGACAAGGGAGGTGTAGTGAATGAAGTAACAGGAATAGGGATCTGATCTCTTCAAAGCAGTGGGAGCATAAATTGTCTTCCCTTCCCAAACACACCAGGAGTTCTCTGAACTGTGTAGTGACCCAGGGCATGTGGGAATGAACTCAAATATAAAAGGAGTGCCTCAGAGACACCCTTCTTCTCAGGCACATGGAACTTGTCAACTAGGGCTGGGTACATACATAATATGCAGGCCCAGTGCAAAATAAAATGCAGGGCCTCTTGTTCAAAAGGCAGGAAAAAAGTACCATTCAATACACTAACATATGAAGCTTTTCTCTTTCTTCCACAAACCCTCGCTGTCTCGACTGGTCACACTGTTAATTGCTATTTGTCACTCTAGGTAAAGAAAATTTTAACTATGAGCATGAATTTTATCATTTATTTTTATATTATGCAATGCCAGTTTCAGTACAAATATAAGAAAATTCAACAATTACACAATGCTTATTATGTGGCTCATACTTGCATTTGTACTGTATTCTTACCAGAACAGTAAAAAAACTAACTCAACTATTTTTATTTCAGTTCTTCATAAATGCATATTCTAGCATCTTATCTTATGCTCTCCTCCAGTCTCTCTGATTCCATGCATCAAGCATGTCAAACTCAAAGGCTAACACGGGCCAAATAAACAAGGTTTAAGTTTATGTGGGCCGAAAAAAAAGCTCAATTTTCATAGAAATGTAGATTTATTTTGACAGGGACATGCTGAATACAAAGGGCTGAAATAAATGAGTAATCCTTAACATAAAATAATAGAACATTTTAATAAAAATTAATATTTTTTCTTGAACATTAACTTACCAGACACTGAATAACTACACAAATTAATAAGCATAACGCCAATAAACCTATTTTTTTTTTGTTCTCTGAAAGCTAAATATTTCCTGTTGTGCACACCAAACAAGTCAGTCCAAGACTAATGACATGGCAATAGGGCTGCTAAAATATTTGCTGCTAGTATTAGTGGAGTGAAATGGTGCACCTGTATGTAAGGCACATAAGGGAAATAAATGCAACACGATTATAGTAATCAGTCATTAGTGAACGTTATAGTTTGTTATTAATAATTATGTATAACAGGATATTGTAAAAATTAAGTTACCAAATTTTTAATAAAACGTTTCTTACATACCGTTATATTGGCTGGGCCACAAAAATATTCATTGAGGGTTGCATGCAGCCTGCGGGCCAAGAGTTTGACATGCTTGCCATAAATCATGGGTCATGGGTCTCACAAATGCTATATGTGAATAGGGTGACAAGGGTTGGAGGTAACATTGTATGTGACCCCTCTACTTATATTCTCTGCTGTCTCATTGGATGTTACTTAGGAAACATTCGTTCAAAGATACAATTATTAATAATTTTGAGAAGTGACAGCAGAGCATAAAATCAAGCACAGGGTTCCTTCTGAGCATGGAGTCTGGGGTGATCGCACAGGTTGTAAGCCCACGAAGCTTGCCTTACTGTCAACACAATTTCATCTTAGACAAAAAAGCAAGGTCAAAAGATCAAGCTGAATTCTCTGCTCTTTGACTCTTTGGCTGAGAGATCAACCATCC